TCGATAAATATCGATACAGTGTGTCCAAGATAAGGTTGCTCAGTAATGTCTCAGAAGCAACTGTGAGAAGAGGATATCTTTATTTAGAGAATAATGGTCATCATTTTGAACAATGGGAGTGTACACCTTGGTAGAACTTTTAACTCAAACCATGTTTATAATGATCATTTTATACATAAATAATGATTGACGACATAATTCGATCGAAAAATTAACTGGAATGTTTTATTTTTGGACATAAATAATAGTACCTTCTGAAAACGGACCCTCTTATGACGTAGAAACCTCATCTCACCATAGTTAAAAGAAAATACCAAACACCCGACGGAGACCGAGGCAACTGATATATCATTTCTTTCAACTGTGATCTCGCGCTAATTCACTCTGTCTGAAATCATGTATCATTCATCTCTGTCTGGAATAGTCTTGTTTCAGTATTAGGGTTTTGACGTCACATCATCGCCTCGTTTTCAGAGGTCCGAAAAATCGGGGATTTCAATAATTTTTTATAAAACGTAGGGAGCTCACAGCAAGAAACGGTTTGCGGTGGTGAGCTAGTTTGGGTGAGTTCTATCGAATTAAGAAATAAAATTTTTTTGTGATAGAAGCCCATTGTTATGAATGTTTCTGTTGGTATTGCCAAAATTAAGTTATTAAAGTAATTCGTGTAAGAATTCATAATTAATTTGAAGCGCTGCATTGAATAATATGGTGAAATATTTTTTTCCACTTTTCGGTATTGAATAACTATACAATAGTCCCTCAATGTTTGACACTAAATGATCAGAAACAAGTGGACCTAATGGCATTTTTCCTCTAGAATTTCGAAAACACATTGATGATGGCAAAAAATAGGTCGAAACACATCGAAACCACCTTATACATGGTTGAATTCAGAATAAAAAAGTTTTCAGAATCTGTGAAAAAATTATCAGGACCGTATTTAAAAAACAAGAGTTGAGGATGTTTCTACGAATACAAAACGTCGCATAAAAAAATCAGTTATCACCACGTTAAACGTCATCAACAGTTGCCATGAAAAAGTTTTTTCAGTGTTTTTGTATCTAATAATAACGGAGAAAAAAGAATAGATATTCCAAAAATTCACTTTTTTCGATATAACTGAAAAACTAAAAACGAGTTTGAAAAGTTTTGAGGACTGTTGGTATGAGCCTCCGATTGCGCAACTTTTTCCCCATTTGAACGACTCCGTATCTCCTATACCGTTTCCGAGATCCCCATGTTGTGCAACCTTATCTTGGACAGACTGTATATATTTGAATAATGAAAATTGGTACAGGTATATTTGTATATTTCAATTGTTCCTGATTCCAATCCATCATTATTATCCGTGAAAAAAATCCCTAATAGTACTTTTTGGAATATGAGTCAATAAAATTGGTCGCAGTTGGCCACACGATAACAGTCCAAAAATAAAGCCACTCTCTTAGTGGATGGACGTTTCAAATACCTATCCATCAATAAAAAGTTTTTCAAAATCGATCAGATTATAACGATTTTACAGGGGTGGTAAGTCCTTAACTTGGACACTAGGGCTGGGGAAAAAATATCGATATATCGATAAATATATCGATATATCGAATAACGATATTCAAGTTTTTAAATATCGATATATCGATAACCATCGATAAATCGATAAATATCGATAAATATTGATAAATATCGATAAATATCGATAAATATCGATATATCGATAAATATCGATATATCGATAAATATCGATATATCGATAAATAACGATATATCGATATATCGAACTTATCGATAAATTTCAACTTATCGATAACCGATAACTGAAATCCAATATCGCGCAGCCCTACTCTGAAGACCACCCTGTTGAAAGGCTAGTGCAACTTCTCTGTGCCCCTGAAACATACTCACCTTCAACCAATCTCAGTAACTCCCTACCGCATAACAAATCTTCATTTTGCGGTGAATCCATATCACGAGATTTTCATATTATTCATTAAGCTCCGCAATCTAGAAAATACATGAAATTCATGTTGTTTCCCCCTCTAGCGCCGAATCTGGTCATACGATCGAGTTGGGCCAATGGAGTCTTCCACTCAGGATGACTTCAACTACAACATATCAAACAGCCATTATTTCCACCAGGAGACATTTTTCCATATAATGTGTGCGTGGTCATTTCACGTCAATAATTTCCTAATGTTTAAATAATGTTATATCTTCTCAATATTGATTCGTACTTTTTTTACCCTCTAGCGCTAAATCTGGTTATACGATCGAGTCGAGCCAGTGAAGTCTCTCACTCAGAATGACTTCAGCAACAACATATCAAGAATCCAGCCATTTTCACCGAAAAAAATCTTTCCATATAATATTTGCGTGGTCCTTTGAAGTTTTTAACAGGAGCTATCCTGAGTTACAGGCATCTTTTTGCAGGCATCTTTATCGTTCTTCTGAAGTGATGAAACATCTGTCAGACTCATTCTGTTATTTGATTTTGGAAAATTGCGAACTCAGTAGTTGTTCAGTAATTTACGTATTCGCGAAGTGGGATGGCAGATAGAAGGACTTGCAATTTTTTCTTGAAAACGGTGTTACAGCCTTATTTTTTGCAACGAGCACAGCAAAAGCCATCAACAGTGAATATAATAATATATCCGAGAATGAAGTATTAACTTTTTTCCCGTGCGGAAGAAAGGAATTCATGGAGAGTGACATTTTATATCCTGCCAAAACAGAGACTATTTACTATTTCTCGGCTGATGATGGACACTATTGATGCCTGAAACATATCTGCCTAGTTTCTTATAGAAAGTTGAACGTCCTGGACATGATTTCGTGTTTGTTCCATACTATTATTTTATTCCACTTTGAGTCATGGACTTCGACACTAGATCACTATTATAACAGACATTTAGTAGCCATGAGAGTCAACTGGTCACTGACATTAGTGAGAATTGACATTTGCCGGAATTATCAACGGTAAGTCTCGTCCTACGTGAGCGAATTCTATATGCTACGTGAAGCGTATGAGCTTTCTGAAAAATCATATTTCAGATACAGATTTCTGAGAAAATATCTATATCAAAAAGTGAAACTTATATTGTATATCTACAATGACATGAAGACGGGGGATTTCATCATCATCATCGAGCCTCAATCTCATATTGTTCTAGAATTATTGTTCTATCCGTCATTCGATCGGTTACCCCTTACGTGCAACCCTCAGAAGTATTCAAGAGACTGGTGCGAGGGCCTCACCTTGTAACGTGCGATCCCAAACACTTTCATGGACCATCAGGAACATGTCTGTAGTTGAGGATTTGAAACCAGATGGCAAGCCATCGTGATTAGAATACCAACGTCAGTTACGTGCATTGAAAATGTCCACGAGCCAAGAAAACCGCTGACGATGTCAGAGATGAGGCCCACCCGACCAGATATGATTTGCATTGTATTATTACATAATTGAATTAATCTCTTGCTAGCTTTTGTGATGATCAGTTGCTTTGAGAAAATAAAATTATTTTAAAGTAGCCTATCCGTCGTTGAACAACCAAAACTGGCGCATTTGGTAGGATTTCCGAAAATCGAACGTATCGAACGAGCAAGTTTGCTTACCGACGATCAATCGGAAAACGAAAAAGTTCGGTAGTAGATGACGAAGTCGAATGCATATGGCGCTGTCAGAAATGAGCATCACTCGACAAGATATGATTCGCATTGTTTGATTTTACGATTAAATCAATCTCTTGCTAGCTTTCGCGATGGTCAGTAACTTTGAGATCATAAAAATATTATCGAAAAGCTTGTTCGTGGTTTAACAACCAAAACTCGCTTTTTCCACGCGACTTTATCTTAACCCCATCGCATCGCGTGAAGATATCATTCAAATTGATCGCTTTGCTTCTCCTGTTCAGATGCCACGTGTTGATCTCTTACCGCTTGCTTACGTAGGACATTTCGATGTTCTTCGTGGTCTGTGAATGTTTGATGAACGTGGGAGCCTAGGAGGAAACAAGAAGGACCTAGGTTCTCCCCTGCTTGGTCGAGATGGGTTTTCGATATAGGCCTTATCGTCGGAATCCTCCAGTTCAATGGCCAGTTTGTTCTGAAATAAGTTGCACCGACAAGTTGAGCACAGTCCCGAGCAAATAAGACAATATATATTCAAGGCGAAGCCAGAGCAGTCATGAGTAGATTGTCAAGGGGTCAAACACCCATAAGCAACGCGCACGGTGAAGTCTATAGAAAGCTATATGAAGAGTTGGAAAGCGACCTCATCATGGGAATGCCAACGGATGGCAAAATTTCAAAATATAGCTTCGAAAAACCTTTCAAAATGAGTAAAACGGACAGAGAGGCATGGAAGGAAGGACCTCCTATCAATGCAGACATTGCTGTCTATACGGACGGCTCCAAAACTGAGGAAGGATTAGGAGCTGGTATTTATGCGGCCTAGACAAATACATGAATCTAACTGAGCTTAAGTAATTAAAGACTATAGTGTATCGTCCCAGTAGTGATAACGCGAAAAGTCGGTACGCGAACAATTTCAATCGAAACAAAGACAATAGTGCATCGGAAAAGTAGTGTTCTCGAAACGCGAAAAGTCGGTGCGCGACAAAAGTTCAACCCCTCCCCCCCAAAGACAATAGTGAGTGTTTTAGTAGTGAACAGTTTTCTCAAAGGAAGTGTTGTTTCATCGAGACAACAAACTTTCAGAGAAAGCAGTGACGAAAGAGCTCCACGAAATCATTGGTAAGTGAAAACCCATTGTAAAAGTTATTTATATAGGAATTGTAATAATCTGTGCGAAGCAGGTACTCCTGTGATTGAACAGTGTGTTATAATCTCACCCTAATAAAAATATTCACCCATACTGATAAATAAATAATTATTATCTGATAACTACTTTATTGATAATTATGCAGTGTGCCGGAAATCCGAGCACACTGCAGTAAATCCACAAAATCCACAAGCACATAATTGAAGAAACCCAAATTAAAATGTCTTCAGATTCAGAACGTTCTCGTTCACCCAGAGACTCGGATAAAGACGAGAAAATAAAAGTAAAAAAGTCCGATAAAGCTAAACAGAAAGCCCTCCAAAGCAAACTAGATGCCGCGGAAGCCTATAACCAAGAGCTAAAAGCTCAAAACGACAAATTATTCGATGAAATTCGCGCAGCTAACGAGAGTATAGCAAAACTTACTCAACAGGTAACAGAACTACTTATCAAGGTAAACAATGATATTGACAAACAAACACACATGGAGGCAGAGGAAATAGTAAACCAAAATGAGAATGCCATTTCAAACAAAGTAAATGAAGTTAACCCAGACGGAGAATGGGAACTAGCATCCTCATCAAGGAGTAAAAAACGAAAGGCAAAGAAAGACGCAGGGAACTCATCCGCGAGTAACAGTAAAATTGCCAAATCTAATGCAACTAGTGGAGCAGAACCACTAGAAAATTCTAGTGCCACTCAGGGCATAAATCAGAACAACCCAAAAAATGATGACAAAATTATTTCCCCTCCCTCCATTGTGCTCAGAAACACTGAAGTATGGGGACAAGTAAGTAGATACGCACTTAATAAAAAGATTGGCATAGCACATGCAAAAAATATAACCGATGGCGTTTCAATTAAACCCGATACCCCCGAAGATTATAGAAAACTTATTAAATTATTCGATGAAAAGAAAGTTGAATACCATACCTATATGTTACCGGAAGACAAACTACTTCACGTAGTAATCAAGGGTATACCGGCAGGAACAGACCCAGAAGAAATCAAACTAGACCTGGAAAATAAAGGTTTCCACCCTAAATTAGTCAGCCAAATGACTTCCAGAAAAACAAAAAATGCATTACCCATGTTCCTAGTTCAACTCCCTAAAAACGAGAGTAATATATATGACCTAAATGAATGCTACTACCTAAAAATCAGTGTTGAAAAACAAAATAAACAGAGCGGACCCACCCAGTGCTATAGGTGTCAACGTTTCGGACACGGTCAGAGTAGATGCACAGCCACCCTCAGATGCGTAATCTGTGGTGGTAACCACCGTGCGGCAGAATGCCGTATTAAAAAAGACCAGCCCGCCAAATGCGCTAACTGTGGCGGAGAACACCCCGCGAGTTTCAGAGGATGTAGTATTTACTTAAAATCGAATCCGAACATGAAGGCAAAACATAATTCAGCAAAAGTTGACCCGAATAAAAGCTATGCTAAAATTACCAACTCAAATTCTGCCTCACAGTCCAATAATAAAAACGATCCTAACCAAAATCAAATTGAAGAAATGAAAAAGCTATTTGCACAAATGGCAGCGATGATGAGCTCATTCACACAAAATCTATAATGAACACACAACCCAAAAGACCAACCAATGTTAAAATTGCCTCGTGGAATGCGGACTCGGTTTTAAGTAAAAAACACGAAATCGGAGAAATCCTAGAAAGAATAGAGATAGATGTCTTGGCCCTACAAGAAACCAAATTAACAGATAATATAGATTTCAATATACAAGGTTATATAACATATAGAAATGACTTCAGAAGAAATTCTGGAGGAACAGCAATAATGATCAAACGAGAAATAGAACACTATAGAGAGACAACACCTAACGACCTAATGACAATAGAAGCAACCATTATCACAATTAACACTCGTAACCACAAACGCGTGAGAATAATTTCAGTTTACTGTAGACCAAACCACATACTACATAACGAAGACCTAGAATCATTACTACCCAGAGGACAACAAACAATACTTATAGGCGACTTAAACGCGAAATCCCCCAACTGGAACAGTAGAACGACAACTACAAAAGGACGAAAACTCGACGAATTCCAAGACAGATACCCAGACGTTAACGTTATAGGACCTATACATCCCACCCACTACCCACAAGCAGAACAAAGACCGGACGTACTAGACATAGCTGTGACAAAAGACATAACCTTCCCTATCGATCTACATGTCATACAAGAAGGTTCTTCAAACCACAATCCAATAATATTTAACATAGGCCATAACAATGATCCTGAAGAGGACCAAATTATCCGAAACGTCGATTGGGATATGTTCCGTAGAAACATAGAAAGAAATATGCGCCCCATTAGAGTGATTGAAAGTGAAGTGGATATTGAAAGTGCCATTGAAGGATTAGAAGAGGACATAACAAGAGCTCTAGAGGAAAGTACCACTACGAGACACGCCCGAAAAAACAGTAAGTATGGTGATATACCTGATGAAATAAAAGAACTAATAAGAAGGAAAAACCGAGCGAAACGGATAGCCCAAAGAACGCTAGCAAGACAAGACAAACAAGCTGCAAATGAATTAAACAGACAGGTAAGAAATGAATTGACATTACATTATAATAATAAATGGGAAAGATTTGTTGCAGGCATAGATCCTAATTCCCCAGGACTATGGAATCTCCAAAAGATCATCAGAACAACAAGAAAACCACTGCCACCTATACATGGGGAAATGGGAATTGTCTACACTGAAAGAGAGAAGGCAGAAGCATTTGCTGACTGCCTGGAACTGGAATGTAGAGAAAACAATCACCCAGACGAAGATCCACGACATGAAGCAACTGTCAGGAGACAGGTACGCGCCCTAAGACAAATGGAGGAAAATGAAGTCATTGCACCTACTTCTCCCGAAGAAGTCAGACTTATTCTCCAGAAATTGGCAACAAAGCGAGCACCTGGATGTGATAACATACCAAACAGAGCGCTCAAAAAACTCACTAGGAAGGCAGTGGTTACCATAGTAAGTATAATTAATGGCATATTAAGATTACGTTATTTCCCCAGGAGATGGAAAAACGCAGAGGTGATAATGATTCCTAAACCACAGAAGAATGGCACATTTCCACAGAACTATCGACCAATAAGCCTCCTCCCATCGGTAAGTAAAGTTGCAGAAAGAATAATTGCTAACAGACTTGATTTTAGCACAGAAGCCCTGAACATTATCCCTGACGAACAGTACGGATTCCGAGAAAAACATTCAACAGAACTCCAGGTCCTGAGACTTGTCGAATATGCAGCTCAAGGGCTGAATAGGAAACAGGTCACAGGGACGGTTTTCCTGGATGTTTCCAAAGCTTTCGACAGAGTATGGCATGATGGACTCATATCCAAAATGATGGACCTAGGATACCCAGTATCTATACTGAAACTCATTGATTCATATATCCGAAACCGAAAACTCAAAGTCAAAGTTGGACATGAGAAATCATCATCCAGATCAACGGAAGCAGGAGTCCCGCAAGGCGCAGTACTAAGCCCAAAGCTGTATACCATATACACATCAGACACCCCGAAGACAGATAACACCTGTTTATCATTATATGCAGACGATACGGCGATAGCCGCGAGATCCCTGAGACCGGAACTTGTAACACGACATCTCCAACGGGCTGCAACTGAATTGGAAGACTGGTGTGTAAAATGGAAGATAGCCATCAACCCGGATAAGAGCAAAGCAGTACTGTTCAAAGGAAAAATGCGTAAAAGACCAGAAGGACATGTTGAAATAGGCGGAAACAATATTCAATGGTCAGAAAAAGCCCAGTACCTAGGAGTCACCCTGGACCAAGGACTAACCTTCAGCGAACACGTCAAACACACGGTAAGTAAAGTTAAAGTAGCTAAACAAAAATTATTTCCACTTATAGGTAGAAAGAGCAAGATGTCCCTCACCAACAAACTTTCATTGATAAGAGCAGTCATCCTGCCCATAATCACGTATGCCTCGCTAGCATGGGGACAAACGTGTAAAACGAACAGGAAGAGGATCCAAGCCCAAGAAAACCTAGCCCTAAGGTGGGCTTTAAACGCCCCCTACTACGTCTCGAACAGGACCATCTTCAGGGACCTCAGAATCACACCAGTGACCACTAAAATGAAAGAGAAGGCAGAAAAATGGTTCACACTCCTAGAGACACACCCCAACAGAGGTCTACGAGAAATCCTGGACTATGATCCAAGATTTCGAGAACGGCACAAACGTCCCAAATGCCAACTACTCAGCGAGGACGAAGATTGAATCAGGTGAGTGAAAACGACGACCGAATAGCAATATCCTTTTATGACATAGTAGTCATAATAGGAAAATTGCAAGCTAACCAGCAGGGCACCCCCTAAACAAGCCCCAGAGACGACACACACAAACACGAGGACTACACTTTTTAAAAGTGACGCATTCCCATTGCAACCAACAAAATTACTGACCAACAGCTCTGAAAGCCGTAAGGCTGAGCTCAACACCACACTAGGAGGCGTGATCCAAAAGATCAATTTTGCCTAGTACACGGACAAAGACAGACAAACCAGACATAGGAAATGGTACCAAAAAGAAAATGACATGAGGACTACTCCAGGAGGAGTAGGGGTTGGTTGGCAAGTTTCAAGGGACTTTTACCCAGTAAAACGGGTGGAAGTTTTTCGAAATGGGAACCTCATAGAGAAAGGTACCGGGGGGGGGCTTAAGTAAATACGCGACGGTGTTTCAGGCAGGAGTTATTGCAATACACCATTGCGTGCAAGAATTGATGAGGCGGCCATCAAAGCAGTCAAATCTATGCAAGTTAACTCAAAACTAGTATGGGACTGCATAGGAACCCTAAATGAACTGGGCAGTCAGAACAGACTGACTCTAGCATGGGTACCAGCACATACAGGGTACGAGGGCAATGAAGAGGCAGACTCAGTTGCCCGAGCAGGAGCAAACAAAGCTCTGAATGGCCCAGAACTCTTTCGTCGTATTGCGAAAGCTTCACGTGAGACTAGTATCAAATCATGGATGCAAACCAAATCTCAAGAATAGTGGAACAACTTGCCAGGTATCAGACAAGCAAGAGAGTTCATTACAAAACCTTCGCCACCATTCACAGAATATCTACTAAGCCAGACACAAAGTTCAATTAGAATACTAGTGGGACTTCTCACAGGGCATTGTAGGCTCAACAAACACATGAGTACGGTAGGTCTGACTGAAGAACTGCTGTGCAGGTTCTGTCACGAAGAAGAGGAAACAGCAGTACACATACTTTGCCACTGTGAAGGCCCGTCAAGACGAAGGTTCCTTACGCTGGGTGAGGAAAAACCAGATGCCCAAAGATACACAGGGGATCTGAAAGCTATTCTATGGACTCTCATAGAGAATGCGGGGCTATAGCTAAAGAATTCTAATCGACTTTGAGGGCAGACACAATAGATCTAAGAAGGTCGCGGTGTGGAGGCAGATCGCTCGAAGGCCCCATTCTAATTCTAAAAAAAAATGAGACAGAGTTTTCTGTCAGCGAACCCAAGCAGCTTTTCTTGCACCTACAAAATATCAGAAATCAGCATGAGTGACCCTAGTTGAGCTTCATTTGGGGTTGGGAACATCCCCTGCTTGCTTTTCGTCAATCTGCAAGCAGTTGGCTTCTGGCTCACTCCCAACCACGTCTGCAGCTGTACAGTGTGTTCGGTACGGAGGTTGAGCCGCTGCTGCGTCAGTTGCGGGTAGACGAGCTAAGTTGAATTTCACGTTGGCAGCTGAATGAAAAAAGAGCTTGTACCGAAGAGCAGGGAGTTTGTCTCCTTCTCCGTAGAAAGGATTGGATCAGTTTGAGTCAGCGGTGGCAAACTCTTCGTGGGTTGAAGAAAGTGAGCCACGTCCAACGAGGCAATATGTTTCTCCAAGACACTGACATTTCTTTCTGCCCTTGCCAGAAACGAGCAGTGTGTCGCAACCGTTGAACGAATTAAAGAATAACACCAATCGTGGGGCTTAGGGGACTCTGCCGCAGTTCAACGACTTAGTGTAAAGTAGTTGTAGAGACCCATCACAGTCACCACTAATCGAGCTGAAGCCACTGATTAGCAGATTCAAATCC